CATATTTTTCAATACTTTTATATGTAGTTGTTTCTATACTCTACATTTGTCTATATTTCTACCTATTTCTATATTTTGTTCTATATTTCTATATCAAGTTCTATATATATATATATATATTTCTCTCTCGCCGCACGCATATATATATATATGTCTATATGTTTCATGTTTCTATCTATTTTCTATTTAGTTTGTATCCAGGTCTTTGTGAGTGTAAGCTTTATGCTAGTCTGGTCATCTGAAATGACTGTAAAATCCTGTAAATTCATTTTCCGGCAGGTTTGGAAGCTGCTGTTATTATTAGAAAATGCTCTACTTTTGACTACTATTTTCTTTTTAAGGCGGACGAGTGAAGCGTTTCCATGTGACAGTGCTGCATCACTGGACACTAGATCTGCGTTTCTGATGTGAGATATACAGTGTGTTTTACAGATGGACACGAGTGACCTGACCTCAGTGTTGCATAAAGAAGCAGGAGGGAGGAAGAGAATGAAAACACTGGCTCAGAAACACGAGAGGAGAGTGAGTGAGTGAAGTAAACACTGAGAAAACAGCTGCAGGAGAAGAATGTAAGAACACAGACTGTCAAATCAACAAACGGCCTGAAATATTCCATACTTTTTTGTTTGTTTGTTTTTTAGTTATAAGTGCATTATCTGTCTATTTAAAGTGCCGTTAATGTTGTAAGTGCGTGTGAATTGGGACGCACATATAGTGTGAAATAGCTACAGCAGACGCATTGATCTTCACATGAGATTTCAGTCAAATTCAGTCTGTGTATTACTTTAGAAGACTTTTATGAAAATGCATTTTGTCCTTGTTTAAAGCTCAACGTACGGCTCTACCCTAGTAAAAAAGTCATATATTTAAAATACATAGTTAAAATCTATTAACATATTTACTGACAGATAACTCGAGACTTACTGATATAAAGATTATAATTAAACTTTATTTGGCGTACTACTTTTTATATTTTTAATATTAAGTCTAAAATGTGTTTTAATGTCACTTTTGATGAGGATTGTAGGATCTTTGAATAATATCGGTCTTTAAATGCAAACTATTTAACATGTACCTGAAGAATACTTGCAATAGTTTAGCACAATCAAATACACTAAGCATATCTTTAATTGGACTACTTCCGGACAATTAAAGTGCATTAAGTACAAAATTAGCTGTTCCAATTTAGCAGACTTTAAGTATAGCTACCAGTTTAGTATACTAAAAGTACAATTGCGGGGCATTTTATTAAGTACATAAATATGAAAATGTATTTGTAGTATACTTAGCATGAAATAAATGGATTTCAAATACATTTAAGTATGTTTAGGGTAGTCCTCATTCACTGTCATTGTATGAGGCGAGCAGCCTGAACATTCTGCTGAGCTTCTCCTTTTGTGTTGCACAGAAACAGAAAGTCACACAGGCTCTGAAGGGCACGACGAGGGCAAGTGAATGATATTAGTGTTCGTTTTTTGGGCGATCTATCGCTTTAAAGGTATCTTTTCCCAGCGCTTGTGTAGAATGTACTGCAGTGATCTGCTATTGCGGAGGAAAATTCTGCATAGGGAACTCCCCGCGCACCGCAACTTTCACCAATAAACCGACGAATCTGCCGCTCACAATTGGAGAGAGAGAGAGCAAGAGAGAGAGAGAGAGAAGAGGGTTGAATGCGCTGCAGAAACGCTCGTGTTCGGCTTTGAATGTGGCGGATCAGTGCAGGATTCTGATCCAGAACGAGCGAAAGTTTGACGCAGAACCAACATGAGAGAGTTAGTGTGGATCTGCTGCTTCGTCCTGCTGTGTAGCGGCTGCTCCTCACAGCGTAAGTACGCCAAACGAGCCCTTATTCCCGTGCATTGACCACTAACTAGTGCGATCAGCAGAAGTTGAGAGTTTCTGCTGTTTTCAGTGTCCGTGTCTCCGAAGGAGGCGAGCGAGTTTCTCCGCAGACACCGGAGAGCGAACCAGGTGTTCGAGGAGACCAAGCAGGGTCATCTGGAGAGGGAGTGTGTGGAGGAGAGGTGCACTAAAGAGGAGGCGAGAGAAGTGTTTGAGAATGACCCTGAGACGGTAAGAGTAATACTAACTAACTAGTGTGCGCTACTGCCCTGGATGCTCTGGATTCCAGCTTGATGTTTCAACCTCATCAACCTGTAATGATTCTGTGCCGCTCCCTAGTTAGTGTGCACTCAATGATGCTCACTAACTAACTAGCGGTGCCGCGATTAATCGGTTTAGTCGATGCATTCGACTCCAGTTTATTTTTGATGTGATCTTTCATCCTCATCGTCCTCTTCTGTAATGATAGTGTCGATCCCTTGTTAGTGTGCACTTGATGATGCTCACTAACTAACTAGCGCTGCCACGATTAATCGGTTTAGTCGTCGCATTCGCCTCCAGTTTATTTTTGTGATCTTTCATCCTCATCATCCTCTTCTGTAATGATAATGTCGATCCCTAGTTAGTGTGCACTTGATGATGCTCATCTAACTAACTACTCCATGCTCTGCATTCCAGCTGGTGTTTGATGTGATCTTTCATCCTCATAGTAATAGTGCCGCTTCCTAGCTAGTATGCACTTGAAGATGCTCACTAACTATTTAATTAACTAGCGTGCACTACTGCCACGATTAATCGGTTTAGTCGACATGCTTAGGGTTAGTTTCAATTGGTGTTTGATGTGATCTCAGCAAAGACCTCTTTAGCAATGATAGTGCCGCTCTCTAGTTAGTGTGCATTCAGTGACGCTCACTAACTATCAAGCGTGCTTCTGCAGCGATAGATCATTTTAGTCAATGCACTGGATTCCAGCGTTTGTTTGATGTACTCTTTCATCCTCATTGACTTCTGATGATTCTGTGCTGCTCCTTAGTGTGCACTATATAGTCTCTAGTAGGGCTGCAGTTGTCCACTTGACCGGGAGGCTGTCCCATTTATAAAGCATGTATTATCAGTGAAATAAAGTGGTTGTAAACTCAATAGAACTCATGCATAATCACAAACCCTAAATAATCGACAGATTGATTGTCTTACAAACTGCCAGTTTTTCTAGTTGTTCAGAGTCCCTGACTGTTTGCACCAAACTACATACTGAACATTATAGTTGTAAGTTTGTACTATGAAAATGTAACAAAAACATGATATGAATGTGAAATATTAGTTCTTTCCATCAGAGCATCCTGCATTGATGCTGTTATCACTGTCACATATTTCCATGAGTCAGGTCAATAACACTGCAGGAATATGATTCCTCAAACACAGACTGTTGTCCTCTGGGAGCTCATATGCAAATGAGCCGCTCTGTGTGACTTCTGATTGGTCCCTGAGGGGCGTGTCACCGCTGTGACTGACAGCTGAGCCTGGAATGTGTTTTTGATACAGAATGAATTCCAGTGTGGCGGCGCATGTCTGACGCGTCGTTCCCTGCACGCATCTCATGAATGTGCTGATTAGATTGAATCCTGTTTGCTCTGTAAATAAGGATTGGGAATGTTTAGGAAGCATGAAAGATTATGACGCCCTGATACTTTCTATTATTAGCTTGACCATGAGAATTTCTGGATTCCACTTTAGTTGCAGAGTGCAGACGCATGCCTGTACTGCAAAAAATGATTTTCTTCCTTAGTATTTTTGTCTTGTTTTCTTGTATAAATATCTAAAATTCTGGAATTAAGATGCGTTTACTTGACGAGTAAAATGACTTCAGATATTATGTCTTGTTTTCTGAAATATATATATATATTTTTTTATTTAGTTAGTTTTTGCTTAAAACAAGTAAAAATATCTGCCAGTGGGGTAAGAAAAATAATCTTGTTTAGCCTTTGAATTAAGATTATTTAAATGCATCCTGATTCCGGAATTTTTAGATATTATACTAGAAAACAAGACATAAATACTAAGGAAGAAAATATTTTTTGCAGTGTCTCCGCTAGTGAAAAATAAATATACTAAAATGTATTTGAAATACGTTTATTTCATGCAAAGTATACTACAAATACATTTACATATTTATGTACTTAATAAAAAAATACCCTGCAATTGCACTTTTGGTATACTAATGTGTTATTCTTAAAGTCTGCTAAATTGGAACAACTCATTTTGTACTTAATGAACTTTAATTGTGCGGAAGTAGCGCTGAAGTCCAATTAAAGATATACTGAAGTATTGTGCTAAAGTGCAACTGTTGTAAGTACACTTTAAATATCTTGCATTTAAAGACCGATATTCAAAGATCACACAATCCTCATCAAAAGTGACATTAAAACACATTTTAGGCTTAATATTAAGAAATGTGCATTGTGCACAAGTTGTACTCCAAATAAAGTTTAATTGTCATATTTATGAGGAGACGAGAAGCAGGTTTGCGTGTCAGAGATGTTGGATTTCCACTCGCTGCTTGCATTATTCACCCGCAGCGCATGCGACCGGCTTCTCTGACGCTGCAGATTTCTCACTGCAGTGTGTGTGAGTGAGTCAGCATGCCGGTTACCAGCTTACTCACCCGTGAAGCTAGTTTAAGAGTTGCATGACTTGACATCGATTAGCACTGGGGTCACACATGAATCATTTGCTCTCGTTAATGCTGTTGTATTAATACTGCAGGGATATTAGTGTACATAATGAGACTGAAGTCTTCTGTAGTTTTACTCCACCTTATTCCTCTGCAGTGTGTGTGTTTGTGTATGTGTGTGTGTGTGTGTGTGTGTTTGT